TGTATTTGGCTAGAGGACATGGGGACTTTTCTTTCTGGTTGAGAAACGTTGGTCTGCAGGACTGAAAGAGAGAAGGCATAGCATTGCCGGGCAAATGACTTTTCCCCCATGCACTACCCAAATCACTGTTAGTTCCTCCTCATAGAGCAGCGTGAACAACATTCACTTGGACTTGCACATCACCTGCCGCCAAGGGATGTGAGTAGTGTTCACACCGTTTTTTTGTTTTTTGTTTTGTTTTTTGGTTATTCACTTTTTTACTTTTTTCACATTGGTTGCTTGCATGAGACAAGTGAAGCAGCTATTTTAGCTTTGAGCTCCACCACTCCAGTGACACTCCAGGCCTGCAAAGGTTTCAGTAATAATCAGCTATAGTCACTGAGTGTGTGTGTGTGTGTGTGTGTGTGTGTGTGTGTGTGTGTGTGTGTGTGTGTGTGTGCATGCAGGTGTAGGCCCACTGTATATTGTGGGCTTAAGGCTTAAGTTTGGACAGCTTGCAGTCTTCTGCCTGATTAACATCTGACTACAATACTTGTTAAAAGAGTTTTGCTTTTTTTTCAGAATTTGAAGCTCACAAGTACAATACCTTTTTAATTTTAATTTACCTTGTTGGGCGTTTTCTCATTTGGCCAGAGGTATACTGAGGTGCTATATTTCTGCAATTGGTATTCACATACAGGCTACAGATTCATACACAGAGGCACCGGCAATCATTTAACGTCTGGCTGGAGTCCATAGTTAAAGTCCACTGTCCTTTAACTAGTTTATAGACCGGTGTCACTGATGATTACCCAGGGCCCTGTCTACTTATTTAAGGAGATTTAATAAACTAAACTGAATTTTATTACAGGTAGGGGTTACACTGCTTCTCAGGAAATCTAAGTTCTTGTCCCACATTTCTCCCCTCATGTTGCAGGTGTATGCTCATGTGTTTCAGCAACAACATGGAAATAAAGAGTCCACCTACACCCTGGTGACCGGTTCCCAAAAGCAGTGTCAAGTTACGATACAGTTACGTAACTGGCGTTCGATGTGTTGCTCACTCTAACATCTACTGATGATCATTGATCTGAGATAACTTTGGGAAACATCACTCTGTTTGGTTGGTGTGTTTAACCAATGTGTGATTGTTTGGAGGCGGCTAAAACTTCATCCTCTCCTCCCAGGTTCATTTGGATGCTCAGATTTTGTACTGAGCTGCCAAAATCCAACAGACACCGAGGTCTGAACTTTCCTGAATCAACAATTTAAATTTTGACTGAGCAATTTTTTTTTTCTTAGTTGGTCTGCTTTTAAAAAATAAACCCCCCAAAAAAAGAAGTCAGTTGTCCTGGCCTTGGTGGTGTTGTGGTAAAAAGCCTTGCCTCTCAGCTGTAAGGTTGTGGGTTCAAATCTCACAGTGGCTGTGTAAGCTAATGGTAAAAGCAGGATAGTGGGTGGAAGTGGAAGAGGTTGAAAGAGCAGAGAAAAGTTAGGGTGAGAAGGTTGGAGAGGTGGAAGTGTGGGGGTTAATCTTTTTTTTTTTTTTAGGTCTTACAGTACAGTCAGTAAGATGTTAGTTCTTCTGATAGGCACCTCATTGTTTCCTTTCCCTCCTTGCTTTTCAGACATCAGAGCTGATTAGTCACCTCTGCTCAGTGCTCTCATCATGAATGATTGACCACTCTAATTAGGGCTCTCCTACTAGCCACTGCTTTCTCAATGCCAATGCACCGCAGTGCTCTCACAATGCTAATAGCCCACTGACCACCCCTCAGTGCTCTCGCAACACCGATGGCCCACTGACCGCCCCTCAGTGCTCTTGCAACGCTGATGGCCCACTGACCGCCCTGCACTCTCACAACACCAATAGCCCACTGACCACCCTGCTCAGTGCTGTCGCAATGCCAATAGCCCACTGACCACCCCTCAGTGCTCTCGCAACACCGATGGCCCACTGACCGCCCCTCAGTGCTCTCGCAATGCCAATGGCCCACTGACCACCCCTCAGTGCTCTTGCAACGCTGATGGCCCACTGACCGCCCTGCACTCTCACAACACCAATAGCCCACTGACCACCCTGCTCAGTGCTGTCGCAATGCCAATAGCCCACTGACCACCCCTCAGTGCTCTCGCAACACCGATGGCCCACTGACCGCCCCTCAGTGCTCTTGCAACGCTGATGGCCCACTGACCGCCCTGCACTCTCACAACACCAATACCCCACTGACCGCCCCTCAGTGCTCTCACAATGCTGACGGCCCACTCAGTGGTCCATACTTTGTATTTTAGAACGGGGCTTTGATCCACCAACCTCTAAATCCAGAGGCAAGCCTCAACCAAATGTGCTATTTTGTCTCTTGCCAAAAACCTCTTTTTAAACACATTTCTCTTTTAGATACAGATTATTCGTAGGAAACTGATTAAAATCATATTTGAACCTACAACATGCACCAGAAGAGAGCATTACTCTAAGCACTATGCCACACAAGAGTTGTGGTGTTATTGGCATGTTGGACTTTTATCTTTTGTCACCCAAAAAACTAGAACAAACCTTTTAAAAAAATCTCTTTTCGATTGTGGCTGTTAGTGGACTTGAACCTACAAACACCACCATCAAGGAGTGTTACACTAACCATTGTACTATGGAAGGCTCATGCTATGTTTGACATGTTGGACCTTTGTTCTGCATCAACAACAACAAAAGTAGAACAAGATTCATACAAGAACATCGTTTTTCAGATTGAGGTTATTAGTAGGAAACTAACTAACCAGAGAGTTGAATCTATGCTATACAACACCAGGGAGCAGCACGCTAATCACTATGCTACGGAAGAGTGGTAGATGGTTATACATGTTGGACTTTTGTCCTGCATCAACCAAAAACTAGACCAAAGCCTTTCAGAAAGATTAAATTAGGACAAGTTGATTCCTAGCTTTGAGTTGGTTCTTAACTTCAGCCCCTTCCCTGTAGGTTCAGTACAGATTCAGTAACAGGAAGCTGCAGGTGATGCTGCCACACCAACACCAGTCCAAACCAAACTGAAAGATTTACTCTGTTGTACTAATGTGAGCCTGTCGGGAAATTTCTGGTTTTATTTTGGTTGCTTCTTCTTTTCTTTCTGAAACCCCAGAATGCACATGTTTTGAAAGGTAATAAATTAATGAAAGGTAATGATTACTGATAATTATTCATACACCCTCAGTGACTTTCCACTAACCATCACGATACACACAGTTCCACTATAGTGAAGATGTGAATGGTGTACGGAGTAACCTTCAAGAGCAGCATTTACCCACAATGCATTGCGGTTTGCCACTATTCTCTTTTTATAATGTTGATATCGATAATGGTATGTTAAAGGAGGCACAATAAAATGCTTGAATATAATATTATATTTGATGTGTTAAACTTGGAGTTTCATGTAACACCACTGAAATTATTTACTTTACCATCAATTAATCAACTAATAATCTGACTTTGTATAGTGTGTGTAACTCAACATCGCAGTGTCACATGTGTTGTTGTTGTTACACTTCGATGTGCCAAACTGCTTCTTGGGAAATCTAAGTTGCTGTCCTCCATTTTTCCCCTCATGAAAAGGAAGTTGAAGGGGTGGGGGGGATGAAAACAAAGGGTGAGAGGAGAGGGAAACAAAAGAGAGAAAGTAACGTTCAAGACACTGAAGAAAAAATGAATGACAGCATATTTCTGGGGCCTGACTGCAGCCCAGTGAGGGACACTGACAGTTGTTGCCTTCCTGATGATCAAGTCTCCCTCCACCTCCATCACACCCACCCTCCTTATTACCCACGTCTCTTAAGTCATTGTAGCCTAGAGATCCAGATGGGCTTTGATCCAACAATGTCTAAAACCAGAGACAAGCATAAGCAACAGCTCTTCTACCAGAGAGCCTTCTTTTTTAACCATTTCTCTTACATTCAGGTTATTAGTAAGAAATTGACTAATAGCAGACTTGAACCTGCAACATTCACCACCAAAAAAAGCACCACTTTCACCACTATACTACAGCAGACCAGCACTAACTCTGGCTGGGTTTTTGTCCTAATGATTTGCATTTCTCCTTCAAATCATTTGAGAAAGTGTAAGCTCATGCCAACCTGTAGTTTAGTGACTATGTTTACATGCACATCAAATTCTGTTTAAGGTCTATATTCGGGTTGCAGCCATATTCCGAATACGATGTTTATACGCATCCAGGCATCGATATATTCCTGTATACATAGCTGTTGTAAGCATGCCTGAGTTGCCTTTCCTAAATACCTAGTCTACAGCTAAGCATCTGTTAGCACTCACAATTCCTTGTGGAGTTATATGCGGCGTTTACGTGACTCAATACTAATTAGAATATTGCCAAATTACGATTAATATCGGAATATCGATGTGCATGTAAATGCTGCAATCCGTTTAAGACAAAATTTTGATAGCCCAAATTCTGATTCCCACCCCTCTAATATGCCCGTTTTAATCGGAAGTTTATTGCATGTAAACACCTTATTTGGAAAATCCACCAAAAAGAGATATATGCACACGCTCAGACTGCAAGGAATTGAAGGTGCTAACAGATGCTCAGCTCTAGGCTAGGTATTTAGGAATGGCAACTCAGGCATACTTACAACAACCATGTATACAGGAATATTCCGATGCCTGGACGCATATAAACATCGTATTTGGAATATGGCTACAGCCCGAATACAGACCTTAAATGGAATTTGATGTGCATGTAAACGTATCCACTAAAGGAAGCTGCAGGTGATCCAACACCAATCCAAACCAAATCAAAACCTCTGTTTTTGGGTGTCTCCAAACCTCACTAGCTGCTGGATTTTGACAAATTTGGATGAAATTATAGAAGTTCGCAACTGATCATACATGAGTACAACACACGAATGATGTTTCCTAAAAGTATCACAGGTCAATGGTAACTGATAGATGGCAAAAGAAGTTTGCTAGTACAGAAAGAACATATCTTAAAACATTCGCAGGAACCTTTATCTAGAGATAAGTACTGAGAGTTGAACTCATAACCTTCTGAGCAAAAGTCCAACAGTTTAACCACTGAGCTACCACCAGAACCACATCTCACTTATGAAGAAAACATCTCAACTTTAAAAATAAATTTTTTTAAAAAAAATACAGCTACATAACCAATTGCAGTGAGAGTCTCCCAGATGATAAGGTCTTCGCTTGATTTCCCATAAACCCCTGGGAATATGCAAATGATGGCACCTCTGATTGGACACCACTCACAAGTTTAGCCATCCCAATGCTACAACAAGAGCATATCTCACTTCTTAGCCATACCATAATACCCATATTCTTTCAAAAAATCCCAACAGAAATGCCACTTCAAAACTTCAAACTTATAACAGTTCAGTTTGAATGTGGAAACAAGTGGCATACAAATGCTGAAGCAATTCAAGAAAACTTAGAATATGTGATATTAAACCGGGTGAGGTTTCATTCAACTTCTGCACAGACAGATAGATGGCTCCACTTACATCTTTGTAGAGATTTCTGTAGAACAGGGTTCATATCTGAGTCTCAAATCAAACCATTGTTTCGTATTTAGGAAATGAAACATAGCTTCCAAGCCATTTTCCAAGGCACTGGAAGTAATTTGAGAAGAAAATCAATAGCGTAACCAATTAATGGTAATTCAGAAGATCGTTTCTAGCTAACTGCTCCCTGATTGCAGATGGTAATATGCTCCAGTAATATCTCAAAGCTCACCAAGCCTAAAGGGCTGATTAGCTTGAATAACGGTCATTAGAACAACGTGACATTCATTAAGATACGTTCACAAAAGAATCCTATTGAGTAATAGGATGTGTGGTGATGGATGTTCAGAGGCTCCGAAATCTAGAAGTTGGAGAACGAGTGTGAGTCAGAGGTCGGCGGGCCTGCTGTGGAGGCGTTTACCTGCTCTCTTGCTTTTTCCAGAGGGCTTTGAGCTGCTTTATTTACTGCGAGAATGAAGGTGTACGATGACCTGCAGCTCAGAACACCTGCACAGACATCACGTTCACTTTGCTTACACAAGTCCAGGACAAACTTTTCAGATTTTTCCCCAAGTCTGGCAGTCTGTATGAGAATTATGTGATTTATGTGAAACCGATAAGCCGTGAGACGGCGTGCATTACAGTGATTTTATTATGGATAAAGGTGCTCTTAGAATCCCAAAAGGCGGAGTGCCAATTATTTATTTATTTATTTATTATAATATTAATAATAAAAATAATAATAATAATAAATAATTCTTCCACCACACAATGTTGTCTGTTAACAGTAAGCTTTGGTTGGTTTGCTCCGCTTCCTGGAGCACATTTCGGGTTTATATATATATATATATATGGCTCATGGAATAGCACACTGTAACCATAACAACGTGACACGCCCACTGTAATCACGCTGAAAAAGTGCGGGCTGCAGTGCTTTTTAAAAGCTGATGCATGCTGTCTGGCTGGTTTTATCGATTATCATTTATTATAAGGAAATGTTGTGACAACATAACAGTCAAAGATTGGGGTGTTCCATGGACAGGACAGGACAAGGTTTTAAAATTGGTTTAATACAGAATTCGACGCTCAGCCAATCAGATTTCAGAACCGACGCTGTCTGCTTTATAATAACATTTTACCCACAGCCATAAAGTTGTTAGTTACTGAAACAGCTTTTACTTGGAAGGAAATGGATTGCAGACAGTGTAATTTAATCCAGGATCTTCATGGAAAATTGGACAAACTGTCAGAGCTGGAAGTACTTCGCATTTCAAGTCACTAATATCTCCTGAATAGATGTAGCTAGCCTGCAGACATGATTAGACAAAAAGCACAGCAGCAGTTACTTAACTTCAAATCAATAGCTCCAGCTGTGTGATAAACACTGACTTCTTTTGGTGTTAAAGAGGACCCAATCTTCCCATTGGTAATTACTGGGCTGCATTGCCATGCCCTACGGGTGGTGATATGTTATTTCTGTTGGACCTGCTGGTGGAAGTGAGTGTTCCTCAGATCCGAACCTGGAGGCTTGTGCAACTAATGAAGGGCTTAACTGAAAAACGAGATGTATATCGCAGGAAATCTGAGTTGAAACCGCAGCCTTGTAGCGTTCCAGCACTGGATATAGTTTACACAACTTACATAACTAGCATCTGCTTTATATCCTACAATTGATTCTGCATTTGCAAAATGAACGAGTCCTTTTAAATCCGTGCGCATTTTAATAACAGATCCATTTTTATAACGTACAGTAGAAAACATGGCAGAGCGGAAAACTCCTCTGTCCTGAACATGTCCGAAAACCTAAAGTTACAGCTTTACCTCTGACTGTTACAAAGTCCTGACACTGGAGACTCCTTCCATAAATGTTTTGTAAATGTCTCCTCACAGAAAACTTCACCATATCAACGACTGTACATTTTTCTGGGTTAAATAACAATTTGTCGTGGTGATGTTCCCTCATCAGCCCCTCTTTTTTTCTCTCTCTCTTATAGTTAATGAGACTGGAAAAAAAAAACAACTCATCATGTTTATCACAGCCATTATTTCACTAAATATCTTCTGATATAGCAGTTTTTTTATTAGAAAGTTAGAATTTCGTTCCTTCATTAAAAATCCTGATGCTTCTAAAGCTCTCATTTACTTCCCGAAGTAAACCAGGCAGGATCTCTAAGTGCTCGGTTTATGGATAGCATACAAGAGCCGGGAGCTGCTGTAATTAGATTGGACGTAGCTTCCAAACACATTAGCCTGCGCCGAGGCGGCCAAAGTCATAAATTTCACAAGACTTGAAATATATCCTTGGCCCATGGTGCCACTGCGGTGCCAATAGAAAATAAGCAAGCCAAAGCGCTCGTTCATCTCAGCAGTCCCCTTCAAAAGCCACCATCCTTTTAACCTTCAGATATCAAAGCGTAAGTAATGCTAATTAATTAGACTTCTGACAAGCTTTCAGAAATTTCCGGATAAAGATTTTTTTTTTTTTAAACATCACAATCTCAAATGGGGATGAAGTCAGAGACCCAGAGCTCACAGACCCGGGTGACAGATTTATAATCATTTAGAGCAGGGGTGTGAATTTTGGAGAAAATGAGAGAGAGTTTTATTGTTACGTTTGATTCTTTGGAGTACATTTCACACTGGCTTCTAGTCTGATGATATTAAACACTTTCATTCTCTCTTTAGGTTTCAGTTCCTGGTTGTTTTCACATTAGCATTTTTATACTTTGTCTCATCCTCAGAAAGAGGCAATGTGACTCAGAGAAGAAAGGATCATAGTAATTGATTAAAAAAACAAACAGTGGACTAGAGTGCAATGAGACACTAAAATACTCATGGATTCTTTGTAAAAGATATTTCATATGATAGTCTGTATGGTACATATGTGAAAGAGTGAGGAGAGGTGACATGTTTTGCCTCTTGAAAGCAGTTTAAATGTGTAAGTGTTGCTCCCCTTCCTTAAGGACATTTGATCTAATCTTATGGATCTGGAGCCTATCCTAGGAACGCTCGGCACGAGGTGGGAATACACCCTTGGATGAAATACCATTCCAACAGGGACGAGGAAACTGGAGAAGCCAGAGGAAAGCCACACAGACATGGGAAGAACATGCGAAAGCCTGCGTATTCGCTCAGGATTGAACCCGGGACCCTGGAGCTGTGAGGTGGCAATGCTCCCTGTGAAATATCGCATGAAATCTGCATGTATGTACATAAATAGTGACATATAACAATAAGGGTTAATAATATCAAATAAAAGAGTTTTGATTGTAAGATTATGAAGTATTTATCAAAATCTCCAATTTCTTTTTTTTTTTTTCTTTTGGGAAAATCATCTTTGTGGTGAAGCTGAGAGCTTGAATCAGGTGTGCTGCAGATGGAAAACTAAAGGGAAGGGAAGCGGGCCTGCAGAGATGACATGGTGGTGAGGTCAGAGTGAATAAGCATGAATTCCGGCTTGCGTAGGCCTAACAGCGCCAGCTCTGTTCGGTAGCACTCATGCCCTCTGGTGCACAAGGTTAATAAGAGTCATAGCAGTTCCTCTGCTCTAAGAAACCCCAAAAACATTAAGCATCTGCACTCCCACTAGGGTGACAGACTGTCATTCCTGGTGTGTGTGTGTGTGTGTGTGTGTGTGTGTGTGTGTGTGTGTGTGTGTGTGTGTGTATGTGTCTGAGAGAGAGAGAGAGTGAGAGAGAGGGTGCAAAGGCTCTTCAGAGCAAACATGACACACTCTGGGTTTTCTGTTCTGGAGACAGGTTGTGATTAATCAGTGTTATTATGTCATTTCCTCGGACGGAAATGAGACAGAGAGAAACACAGGGTAAATAAGACGAGCGACACGGAGAGGAGCAGCATTAAAGTACCGTGAGGAGAGAGAGAGTGAAAGAGAGAGAAAGAAAGAGAGAGACAGAAATAGATAGAGAGGCATGAGTCACCGAGAGGATAGGGTCGAAGGGCAGCGAGGTGGGATGTGAAGAGCACTAAGTGAGAAAGGTGTGAAGCTGCTCCAGTAATAAAGGGGAACGCCCACGCTCCATCCTCTATGCTAAATCACTGTACCAAGCACCTCTTAGTGTATGGGTGTGTGTGTGTGTGTGTGTGTGTGTGTGTGTGTGTGTGTGTGTGTGTGTGTGTGTGTGTGTGTGTAAATGCAAGCAGGACAGAAACAGAACAACTATTTACAGCTGTGATACAGATGTACAGATGCTAAAGATACAGCATGCTTCACCTCACCTCAGATTACTCAAAAGATGAGTGGTGAAACCTGAGCTAGTTTTATCCTGGTTCCTGCAACTCACACCAAAGCACGGCTATTTAGCATCAGACCTGTTCATGGACGTATAAAACATCTTATAGGTTCTAAAGATGCTCTTGGAAACCTACAAACCTACAATGCACTGATCCAACCAGAGTGCCTCCTAGAATGGCAAACAGAGACGGAGAGCACTTTCCTACTCATCTCATGCCATCACGGATAATGGAGAAAAGCTTAGGTTCTTACTTCATCACACCACACCATCACTGATTATTTTCCTATAACATTATGTTCCAAAGGGTTCCGCCATGA